GGAACGTGTTGGTTTTATTGATGACATTATTGTCTTCAGTAAAAACCTGGCTGATCATATGCGGGATTTACAGGAGCTTTTCCTGCGGCTCCAGGAATGCGGCTGGACCATTAATCCTGAAAAAACAGAATTATTTGTTAATTCGATTACGTTCTTGGGTCATACGGTCGATCAATTTGGTATAAGTACGGATCCAGAGAAAATTCAGGCGGTTAAGGATTTCGGCCCTATAAAAGACAAAAAAGATATACTGCGTTTCCTGGGCATGGTTGGATATTATCGCCAATTTATTAAGAATTTTCAAGAGATTGCGGAGCCGCTCCAGAAATTAATTCCTAAAAAAGTTACCTTTGAGTGGGGAACTGACCAGTGTCGGGCTGTGGAACAATTGAAGGAGGCGTTGGTGACGGCGCCGGTCCTGGCCCGTTACGATCCAGAGGCCTTGTCGAGAGTGGTTGTCGACGCCAGCACTATCGCAGTCGGCGCAGTACTCATGCAGTGCCCGCGAGATAAGCCGACGGATGTGCCAACAAACTGGCGTCCTATCGCGTATTTAAGCCGCAAGTTAACCGAGACTCAGAAAAGGCTCTACTTCCCTACTGAGCTTGAGGCCTATGCTGTTATTTGCGCTCTCAAGAAATGGAAACACTATCTTTCTGATTATCAGTTCGAAGTACAAACTGATCACCAAGCATTGGTCTTTCTTAATAATATGCGCGATGCCGCTGGCCGCCTTGGGCGCTGGGCGTTGTATATCCAGCAATTTAACACTAAACCTGTTCACATACCTGGCAAAGAGAACGTTATTGCTGATGCCCTGAGTAGAAATCCAGGAGAGCAACCGGCACCCGACTCCGACGACTCGGACATTGAGTTTGATTATCGGCAAACTTACCCTTTTGCCGGTGATGCAGCGATGATTGAATGTTGTTTTGCGGTTTTGGAGAGGGATTATGTGGACATCCGGTTCGAAATGATGTCGGCTGAAGTGAAGGCAGTCTCCCAGGAGGACATGCAAGCCTTCGACGCTGATAAAGTCCAAAAGTTGATTACGGATGATAAAGCCTCACACTGGGCTGAGGAGCAGTCTCGCGATGCCCGAATTGTCCGATGGCGACTGCTCCTAGAAAATAAAAAGGAAAAAATGTCAGAGCACGAGAGATTACATCTAAACAAATTTGTAGTGAAACAGGGCGTTGTATACTACAAGTTCGAATTAAACCGGAAGATCTATTACTGCATGTATGTACCTGTTCACTGGCGGCTTCAGTTCCTTCAGGATAACCATGATTCCCCGTTAGCGGCACACTTGGGCGTCCTGGCCACCTATAAGAGGATGTATAAATATTTTTATTGGCCCCGTATGTTCGAGTCTGTTAAAAGTTATTGTGCCTCTTGCCCGGCGTGCCTTGCACAAAATCCTCTTGCTACGGCACCGGCCGGTGCTCTCCAGTCAAATCCGACGGTTCCTCCCCGGTTAGTTTGGGCAATTGACGTTGCTCCGGCCCTCCCAACGACGGAATCTGGAAACAAAAACATAATTATTGCAGTAGATTACGGGAGCAAATACATAGTCGCAGAGGCAGTTGAGAGAAATGACGCTGCCACTTTGGCGTTGTTCTTTTATCGTCGTATCCTCACGGTCTTTGGTATGCCTGTACACATCACTTCAGACCGCGGCAGTAATTTCATGTCTGAAATGTTTCGGGAGCTTCTCGCTCTCGCTGGTGTTGCTCACGCACCGACGGCGTCAGGCCACCAGCAGGGTAACGGTCTTGTTGAAAAACGTGTAGGGGAAATCAAGAAGGCGTTGGCGAAGTATGTTAATGAACAGCAAAGTGACTGGGATATATTCCTCCCAGCACTTTGTGCTTTTTTTAACAGTAAGGTTGTGGAGAGAACGGGTCGCTCACCATTCTTCATGATGCATGGCACCGAGATGCGCTTACCGATAAATAACTTCCTGCCTTTTGAAGAGGATTTCGTGATTCCTGCTCACGTATATGTACAGCAGATGCAGCGCGGCCTTGGTGAGGCCCTGGACTTGGTGAATGCAGAAGAGTTTCGCCATAAACTAAAAGATAAAATTAGATATGATGCCAATATATCCCATACCTCGTATAAACCGGGAGATCAGGTTTTGGTGTACGTACTTCATAGAAAAGTGGGGAAGAATCCATCCCTTATGCCCCGTTGGACTGCTGGATGGGAAATCGTGCGTCAGTCAGGGCCAGTGCATTATGTAGTAAAAGTAACCGGCGCGGAAATGTCAAAACTGACACTGTACATGTCAGCCGTTTAAAGCCGTATAATTTCCGCGACGTCGATACTATTCTACAAGATGAGCACTTACCGAAGTTGCTCGATTGTGTGGAGAAGGAGTGCCCCGATGAATTAGTTGAGGCACCCGCGCCGCCGCCGGTGATTCCATCCGTTGACTCAGCATCGTCGCGCCTTGATGCTGAGTATGCTGAATATCTGGATAACCAGATGGAAGCGGTTCCATTGCTTAAAACCCGCTCCGGGCGTGTGGTGAAACCTGTGGAAAGACTTGTGAACCAGATAAACGACAAAAAGCGTAAAAGAGACCCGTCGGCTGATGCTAAAAAGCGCATGGCCACAAATGATAGAGAACCGGCTATTCTGAATGTATCCCAGCCGGGAGGGGGTCAATCCGAACCAGCTGAACTATTGGCCAGTCATACTTCGTCAATTACCTGTAGCGCAATGGAGATTGGGCCGGCGCAGCCAGCAAAAACTTCTTTAGCAGTTGTTGAAGACAGAATTCTTCCAGTCCCGGCTTGGGCGCGTCCAATTGAGCAGTTCTGGCCTCAGGGTGTAATATCCGATGACGCCCTTGATAAACAGGAATTCTGGAAGTATCGCCAGATGGAGTGCAGTGACATGATGTTGTGGGACGCCGTTGTTGATGGAGATTGCACTCTTGAGGAATCTGCATACGCGGCCTGGCATCTTCCTTTAGTTCTAAAAGTAAACGGCATTATTTGCCATTATGGAGAAAAACAGGACATTGCAAAAAGGGTACCTAAAATTCTCATTCCTTATCAGTGGCGTAAAATCTTAGTTGAGTCTGTACATCGGCGGTTGTTGCATAAGTATAACAGTAATATTACGCCGTATGATTACTTGTATAGAAGTCTTCGTCTCTTCTGGCCGGAAATGAGGCGTGATTGTGATTATTTTATAAAAATCTGTACCTTATGCAATAACGATTAAACAAGCTGAGCGGCCGTCTAAATATGTACATTCCTTTTATTTTTAAATTTTACAGGGTTGAAATTTTATTCCTTAACGCATTAAAATTGTTTGGAAAGTTCCCATTAAATCTGTGTGTACGTACGGATTGAGTAGTCGTATTCGCCATTGGACAGTCCGCAGTGACGTGGTCGCGTTCGTTGCTCTTCCTGCATATTAGCTGCGTAGGAAAGTTGCTCTTAGCTGGCAGCAAATCAAATTCATACCTGCAAAGATTTGTGTCTGTCATTAAGTCGCCTTCGGTCTCGTTTGTGTGTTCTCCTTCCTTGTACTGATTTTATGCCTAACAATTTCTGATATACCGCTATAATGTATCGTCCGAAAGTGCCGTCACATCCTTCTTATCAGCATGAGGATACCACGAGTTCCTCGGAGAATTCTGTGCAGGTTTTGGCAGATGTCTTGGCCGATGTTCAGCCGCCAATGTATCCCGATCCTCATGTTGGATGGCCTGAACCAACATTTGAATGGTCCCATCGCATGGTGGATTGTGGCCTTCGTCCGTCTCCGCACGACTACGCTCGTGGAGGAAAGAGTTATATTCCCCCGTCTGGTTTGATACATTGTCCCTACAATCCGGACACCGATTATGTCGAGCTGCACTCCGAAACTCGATTGCGTTTCCGCGGCAAGATTTACCATAATGGATCGGAGATGACGTTGGACAAATACAACCGCTTTGTTCACACTCTAGATTTGTCAAAGGACGCACACTATGCATTGTTGCGTTACCTGCGGGTGGACTTCCGCCAAGGATGGCTCATCGGGCAAATTGTTTGCGAACTCCGTCGGAACTACGGCATCAATGTGGTGCGCAATCCTGTCGAGTTTCTCACCGCGTTGGATTATGTCCCGGGGGAAACGGGAGATCATGGTGCCGTTGTTACGCTCGTGGACGCGTATAATCAGCATATCGAGGAATTGGTTTCCAATATTGACGAGGATCACCGCTTGGAAGCAGAGCAGCGCTATTTCGATCGTCTGAATGCAGCGGATCCGCGCTCGTCATCCCAACAACAGCAGCAATTGCAACAAACTCGTTGGCTGTTACATGAAGGACAGGAGAAGCGTGGCCCGGGTAAACTGGATGCTTCGATCGCCAAACGCCATCGTCCACGTCGTGATGACGACAATGATAACATGGGTGCCGCTGTTTAGCCAATTGCCTATAAACTCAGCATTCAATTGGCTTTTCCTACTATTTTTCTGGTATAGTTCATATTTTGCTTGGCCATCTATACTTTGGCGCAGCTGGAGATAAATAGTTCTTCTCTAGTTTTAAGTTTTTGTACAGTCGTTTCCCTTTTACGGTTAGCTTTTTGACATAATCTTATGTTGTACAGACTCCGCTGTGTTTTGGCTTACCATTTATCCGCAGGAGATAGATTTGGACCGTTCCGCAATAAAATCTGGTTAAATAGGTTGAAATTCTTATTGCTAGTATCAAATTGTGTGGAAATAGCTAAAAGCTCGTTAGGAAACACGAAAACTCTAAAAAATCTCAAGAAAGATCCTAGATTTCATGTTAGAATGTGTAGAGTACTCTGGGCATGTCAACCGCCCGAACGTAGCCAAATGTTAGGGCAGTCGCAGTTTGAGTGCACACAGCTGTTTCTGGTCTGCACAGCTGCAGTGTGTCAGCAGTTTTCATGTTTGGATCTGCAGCTCTCTCGTCTTTTCTCATTCACATTCTTTTCCGTTTAAATCCCTACTTTTCTTTTAAAATGGAGATGGAATTTTATAAATCCGAGCGCGGGCGTATGATTTGTGCTGAGCAAGATGAGAAGAAGCGCCGTAAGTTCGTCACATTTTCTGATTCCGTTGCGTATGTTCTGGCGAACCAGGAACACATTTCCGAGTTTGTGTACTTTTGGCGTTCTTTGGACGGCCCGTATATTTCTATTTCGGAGCTTTGTAAACTCTCTAATTCCGAAATTATGGCCTTGAATTTTACAGAACCCGAGCCAATGGATTTTGAGGCTCAGGTGGCTTTAGAGATCGAGAAAGTTCGTGCGTCGGAAATGCAGATGTATTACTTGAAGATCGGTTTCATTCTGTATCCCGACACTCCTGTCCTACGTGAAGCATCTGAACGGCTTCGTAAGGAATTTGGCTTGCCATCCTTATTCAACCCGCCGGAAACCCCACGCGAGCGCCATCAGCGCATGGTAGAACACAACAAGCGCGTGATGGAGGAGGAACTCTGTTGTGTTGACTGCGAGAATAATGGCCCGGGTTCGTGTGGCCGTATTTTGTACACCTTGGATGATGACGAGCCTGTTCCAAATATCTGGGGATCTGGCAATCTTGAAGATTGGAAAGAGCCAGATTCAGATTTGGATGACTGGTGGGCAGAGCACAAGCTGGATTTTCCGGATCCAGTCAAAACCTCGCCTGCGGATATGCTGTGGGTGGATGAAGACCTCGGTCCTGACCGGACGCCCAAGAAGAAGCGTAAGCACATCGTTGTGCAGCGTCACTCTCTGCGTGGCATTCCCCACAACTATTGGAAGTGAGGATTTTTGCCGATCGGCCGTTTGTATTTTTAAAGCACGCCAGATGATTTGATGGCTCTTTTGTTTAAATCTCGTGCTGTTCTCTGCCTTTTCTGCGTTCTTTCTTTATGATGTCTCAGTGTGGCACGCTTAATCCAGTATAATTTTACAGCTGCCGCGTTTTGAATGTTTAAATGAGCGTTGTCTTGCTAGTTGTCTTGCTATTCCTCCAGTTGTGATCGAGCCCATCGTTATGGCTCTGTTTTCCATGAATTTTGTACTGATGGAATGATCCGTAATTTTATAGGCTTTAAGTATTTTGTAAAAACGAATTAAAAACCTGTGGAAGTTAGGATTTTGCGTGTTGAAAGCGGTAAATTGTCGAGCGTATATTCGTTTAATATACACACTCTAGCGAAATCGCTGACGGTGGTAAGAAGTGTTGTTGCAATATACACGCTCTGCCATAGGCCGTGTGTTAATGGACTTCGCTGGTTACGAAGTATGCGGTCGCCAGCGTGGGCGGCTGTCAAACTCCTATCCTGAATGTATCCCAGTATGAGTTTTTATTTAAATTTAATTATTTACTATTACTGTGATCTAATTCCGCTAACTCTGCTGCTTTAAGCCTTATTTGCGGAATTCGTGATTTGCTCCCAATCGTTCGCATCATCATGACTCCTCCGGCAAGCGAGAGGAAGAAAGCGGCCAAGCAGGCGCTGGAGAACCGTGTTACCGCATGGACGGAGATAGTCGCTCAGAAGATGGCCGAACGTACTGAAGCTCAGCAACGTTTTGAGCGTGGCAGAATCGCTGTCAAGGAGGCAGTGTCTAAGCTTCCCCCGAAGACTCCTTGATGTCGCATCATTGGGTGGATTTATGCAGGCTGATTTTGCCCACTATTGTTAGAATGTCTGGTATTTTGTGCGAAATGCTTGAAACCGTGCTTTACTCGTATGATCTCCCTTGCCTTCATCTTTTTATTCGTACGCTCATGTCTCTTCTGAGATCTCATATTGTAGATTTAGTGTATCGTTTTATCTTGTATTTTTATGGTTTACGGTTAGTTTTCCCCTTTATTTAGATTGTGTTTTGCCACACGGGTTGTACACTCTTTAGCTGGTACATTATGGTTTTTGCGTTTCGTCCCGCAAGGCGTTCTTGTTGTTTACTTACTGTGTGAGTTGCGAGTTCAATAAAGTCTATGTAGTCACCGTCTGTGCTGTTGTTGGTAAATGCTGAACAGCGTAGCGCACGACCGCACGAGACTACACTTCCGTTGGGACATTGTGTTGGTTGCAAGTAGCTGGTCACTTCGGTGGGTAGGCCACAGGCACATTCACTATGGATTGTTGTCAGTGTACGCCTTCGGCGCTTCCGTTCAATAGGATTTTGCGTAGAGCGACCCCGCTAGTATAGTAGTGCCTTCCGTTGCTTCGTCATTGGAGGTTCTAGTCTACATTAAAACGCGATTTTGTAAATGTCCCTCTTTTTGGTTTTTATCTCATGAATCGTTATATTTTATTTAGCGGGACTTAACATGGGGAATATTGGGTGAATCGCTGTTGAGAGGTGTCAAAATGAACACTGCAAGCTGTGTTATTAGTATTATTTTTGTCAATGACTCTTGTAGTCGAGTGGTCCAGTAAAGTGGACAATACCAGGCGAATCCGTTTACCTGTTGCTGGTCCTGGGTTCCAATCCCAAAAAATCAAAAAGCGTTTTCTTAAAACCTTCTTTTTCGTGCCTAAATTTTTGCACTTGGTTGTACTTACACATTCGGTGTGATACTGTTAATTCCTTATTAGTTTCCAACGAGCGGCACACAGTTGTACAACCCTTACCGTTCAGATTTTCTTCCTTCTTCATGAGACGTCGTAGTGTAGTGGTTGTCCGCCTTGTCCCCGCTACGACTCGGTCAATTTAGGGCCTTGGGTTCGAAACCCTTACAAGTAATGCACATTTCTTAAAACCTTCTTTTTTGGATTTTATTTTGTTATAATGACATCGAATATGCATTGCTATTGACCGTTGTAATTTTACGTTCTTCTCCGACGAGCGAATTCCAAAGTTACTGTCGTAGAACAGCGTAGTATAGTGCTTTGCACCGTTGAACTACAGCAACGGGGAAATGAAACGGTTGCGGGTTCAAGTCCCTTACAGCTAATTTGCAATTTTGAGAAACTTACCTTTTTTTCGTTTTATATTCTTGTTGTCGTCTTGGGAAAAGTATTGACAATAGTTCCCAGAAATATTAGAATTAAACTCAAAGAGCTGGGCGTAAAATTGTATGCACACTCAATGGTTAACATTGCACTTGGCCGTCTGTTTGTCTGTATTCGAATGACTTCGTAGTTCAGTGGCTATGAATGATGGCCATTCGCCTCATGTACTACCTCCTTAACGGCCGGTCTTAATCTCAGGGTTGCATGCTGCATGTGGAAAACTACCTTTTTCTGCCCTATATTTTCGTACTTTTGTGGGATGAAATTACGCCGAAGGGTTAATGGTTTAGTGCCTTATTGCAGTCAGGTTAATTATACACGACATGGCGCTTCCGGTGTTGAATCTAACTTGGCTTTAGCGTAGAGCACCTTGTGGCGTAGTGGCTAGACTAAGAATCCATACCGACCCGCTTCTCGCAAGTCTAGAGTTCAAATCCTAAAAGTTAATCCGTTTAATTTAAAACCTTCTTTTTCGGTTTTATATTTTTAAATCAATATGCAGCATTATGTTGGCGTTGAGATCGCTAATTTTTCGTTCACTCCCGGTGAGCGAAGTTAAAGTTTAACTCCGCAGATTGTAGTGGCGTAGTGCACTGAACTGTTGAACCACAACAACAGGTGCAATGAAGGTTGCGGGTTCGAGTCCCCTACAATTAATGTGCATTTTCTGAAACCTTATCTTTTTTGCTTTTGTGAATTTATTACTGTTATTGTGAAAATATTGCCGTTGACGGAATGAATCTTTTAGCCACGGTGACGGTGAAATCTTAACACTTATCAGCTGCTTCAGTGGTGAATTTTTATTATATTGTGAATTTTCGTAGTACAGCGCCTCTAGTGATTGCCAAATTAAAAGTGAAATGTGGTATAGCCATGCTAGCGTATGGGCAAGAGCAGGATTTAGTTGTCCACCTAGATGCAAGGTTCAATCCTGCGTGAATACAAATTTTGCAAGCTTTACGAGTTTCTCTCCATTCTTTTTTCCTTTCTTTGGTGGCTTCTGTAACTTTATTCCCAGAATGGAATATTAAAATTGTTTTTAGCGTTTGATTCACGCTTACGGGTGTGAAATTTGATTTTACCTTGTTAATTGGCCATTCTATATCGGAATTGACTGCAGCCGCGACTGCGTATTCTCCTACACTGATTTTATTCCGATTATTTAAAGCCTTACATAAATCCAAAATTAATCTCAAATTAAGATCTGTCCGACCAGCATAATTAACGACTATACGAGAATCTGTATGAATGAGAATTATTAAACCAACAAGAGTGAGATTAAACGGAAGAAATAACAGTCGGCCGAATTTTAGAACAAAATTATCAGACAGCCGCCGGAAATTATCAGATATGTTACAACTGCTGTTTAGTCCAGATCCAGATTCTCCTTCGCAGTTTTCAAGTTCGCAAGACATTGTTCCAGCGCCTCACGGATATATGCGATATGTTTAGCATCCATCGTCGCTCGAGCCTTCAGCGTATTTACCAGCGCCTTGCAGTTATCCATGATATCCTTTTCGCGTTCAACCTGTTCCAGTAACTTGTCGATTGCGTCTGGCTTTTTGATAGCATCTGGTTCTGCAGCGCTCACTTCAGCGCCAGGTTGTTCAGCCTTCTCCTTCATCTTCTGGCTTTTCTTTTCGGTATCCGTATTTTTCGATCGGGGAACGTATTTAGGACGGCCGCCCGTAGCTTTCAGCTGAGTGAGCGTGATAATTGGTTCTCGCTCAATGCGTCCATCTTTGCTTGCCCGGATTACCAGATTTACGTTGGTGATGTTGTTCTTCCCGGGCTCGATTGCCTCTAGCCGTTCCATAACCCCATCCACAACTAAATCTGCGTCTTGCCCCACATGGCCAAAGCTGCAATCGGCAACGTGCTGTTCGGTCTCCTTGCCGTTTACGATAACCTTCATCGTGCCCATCTTGATATCTGCAAAATACGTCGTTTTAATTAGGCTACGGAAAGTACGATAAATTGCAGTATGTAGCATGGTTAGCCTCCTTTAACGCGCAAATGTATATAAATTAATATAACCAAGCACCTACATTACATTTTCCTGACTTTATTACGGGAAATCGAAACTGCTTAGTACTTACTGATAGTTTGGGCTAGAGTGGTGCAGAGACAGCAGCCTCGGATGCTTCGTAGCCACAGGTCGATGCAACTATCCACGAAAAGATTTCCGTAGACGACGACGACATGTTTCTTTTTAACCAGTTGGCGCAGCCCGCGCTCCAGCCAGTAGTCTACGTCCTGCAGATGTATGTCGAACGTCCAGATCCAGTGTTGGATTTCGGTGCGTGACATGGCATATCGGCCGTGGTAGAGGATTACTCGAATCATTCGACGAAACTTGCTAGTTGTGTCGATTACCTTCGTCTCTGGATCGCGGTTATTCTTTACTTCCTCGGCCACTTCGAGCACGAAACGTCCATCGCGGCTCATCTTCTTGAGCAAGACTCCAGCATTAATAGCGTCGCCGAGGAAGAAATCCACTCGTTCTTCCGTGAAATCATCGTGCATTTCCACAATGAATTTCTTGATAGATGACATGTCCACATAATATCCCGTAATGTCAGCCTCAAGAATGCACGCGTGGGCTGCCGTATGCATCGCCAATTGTCGACGGCTTCGGATGGTTTCGTTTGGCTGTAGAGGCTCTGCCATGGCAAACTGAACTGATTCGCGAGTCCGTCCCTTCCAGTATTCGTAGTGGGCAATCGCGTCCGTTTCGGGCGATGGTAGAGGCTCTCCAGCTGGTCCTACAGGCTGTCTTGACATAATGATTAGTAAAAATTATTGAATTAAATGCAATAAGAGAAAACAAAATGCGCTAGTAAATGAGAAACAGAAAAATCCCGTCACCACAAAAAGATAAATATTGTTGGGTTCTTCACTTTCTCTATTAATAAAGAACAGCTGATA